GAAAATGGAGAGAAATCTGAATAAAATGTTCAGTTTATTTAACAGTAATTTATGAATGTTGATTCCTGAGTTGTGACAAATGTACCCATGGTAAGATGTTAACAATAGGGGAAACGAGGTGAAAGCTCTCCTGGGGAATTTTGCACCATCTTTGTAACTTTTCTGTGAATCTAAAACTATTGTAAAATTAAAAGTTTATTTAAAAAAAAAAAGAGAAAGAAAACCTTACAAGGCTATTTTTGGGATTAAATGAAATGCCTAGTATGTTGAAGTACTCACAGACTAACTGAATGTGAGGCTGAAACCATCAAGTCTAATGCTTAGCACATGGTTGGCTTGTATTAAAGATAGTTTCCTTCCTTCCTTCCATGATAATCTGCAGTATTCCAAGGACTTTTGATTGGAATAAAGAAGGAACATTAGATGTGAATTTCAGGGTGTTGAATCTTACAGCAGAGAAGATAGGCCTTGTGTTCTAATTGGAGTAAATTAACGTTCTTTAAATATCAGTAGAATTGGTATTCTAGGAGAAATAATTCTTTTTTTTTTTTCTTCTAAAGATTTTATTTATTTGAGAGAGAGAGCACAGCAGGGGGAGGGGCAGAGGGAGAGGGAGAAGTAGACTCCCTGCTGAGCAAGGAGCCCGATGCGGGACTTGATCCCAGGACCCCGGGATCATGACCTGAGCCAAAGGCAGGCACTTAACCGACTGAGCCACAGGCACCCTTAAGAGAAATAATTCTTAATCAGGAAGAAACAAGATAGATAGGGGTGTTTATATGATTGCAGCTTTATTTTTTTGGAAAAAATTTTATTTATTTATTAGAGAGAGAACAAGCAAGGGGAGGGGCAGAGGGAGAGGGACAAGCAGACTCCATGCTGAGCAGGGGGCCCGATGTGGGACTTGATCCCAGGACCCCGGGATCATGACCTGAGCCAAAGGCAGATGCTTAACTGACTGAACCACCCAGGCGCCCATGATTGCAGCTTTAAAAAGTACTGGTACCTGGTACTTAGGAACATGTGCTGGGGCATTTCAACGAGATCTCTGCTGGTGATTGAAGATGGTATGTGGGTCTGGTTGGGATGGGCTCTTCTTTCAGCAGATAAAAGATCATTAGAAAGAATTCTTGACCACATGCTGGCCAGTGTATTTGGTGTGGTGATAAGTAAGTAAAAGGACGTTCAGGATGCCGGAGTTGTCTCTGAAAGGCCAGGACTAGCGGTGTGACATCTGGCAGTTCACATTCCTCAGCTCTTGTACTAAAAGAGTAATAGGAAGGTAATAATAAACAGTTCAATGGAAACTTGAAATACAATAACCCAGAAACTCAATTAAAACCTTCACGAGCTCCTAAAATCTCAAGACTCTGCCTTGGTTGGGGTTTTGAAGATGGGCACACAGGGCAGAGCTTCTGGGCAGATGAAAAGAAGGGCAGCTACCTGAAAGAGGACAAATACACATAGCAGTGTGGAATTTGGGGGGCCTTGTCTTCTAAGCCGCCGCATGTGGTGTCTCTTCTGTCTTTCGAAAAAAAGAAGCTATTCGGCCTTCTGCTATCTGATTTCTAGGCAGGAAAAGTAGGGGCTGATTACCAGTGCTTCTCCCCTAGGATCTCACATGTCTCCATTTGCCCTTTGTAGAAGAGTTGCAGCAACTGCGGGAACGCTGCCGCTTCCTGAACGAGGAGTACCGGGCCCTGCAGGAGAGTAACAGCAGCCTCACAGGGCAGCTTGCGGATCTGGAGAGTGAGAGGTACAGCTAGCAGGCTAGGGGGCTCTGCAGGGCTCTGCTTTGGGCTTTTCTCTTGAGTAGACTCAGTGAAGGCAAATGCAGGCTAATGAATGTCCCTCTGCTCCTAGACAGCCAGTTCTTCACAGGGTATGGATGCCGCCTAGAAGCAGGCATGGAGATCCAGCTGTCTCAGGACTGGGGTTTTAAAATTTAGTTTTCTTCCATTCTAGGGATTGGGGTCTGGTTTGCTCTGCCCTAGAGTTGATCAGAAGTGATTCCTTTGTTGTCTACACAGAATGGATTCAGTCTAATGGTGTAGGGCCTCCAGATTAGAGCTGGCTTGACATAAGGCCCAGCCTTGAGCCCAACTAGACTAGCATGCTTAGGTCTCCCAGAGCCAAACATGCCTTGATTGAGGTGCTGGGACTTTTTCTTCACCTTCTCAGCATGTTTATTTAGGAGATAAACTACAGTAGAAGGCTCTTTCCCATCTTGGCCTAAAATAAAGACATCAGGACCAAGCACACTTAGCAGGTGATGCCAGGCAGAGCACTTACCCAAACATGGCTCTGGGGTTCTGGATCACAGGACACGAAGAGCAACAGAAAAGTGGCTGGAGTCCCAAATGCTAAAGGATATGATGTCAGCAGAGTCTCAGACTTCAGAAGTGGATTTTCTGGAACCTGATCCTGAAACCCAGTTGTTGCGACAACAGCTACTGGGAGCTGAAGAGCAGATGCATGACATGCAGAACAAGGTAGGGGAAGGCAGGCACCTTCGTTGTCTCTCTTTTACCCTCTCCTGGCCCATGGTAGAAACATCTCCTTAGACACAGGGGGCATGCACTATGGCAGGAGGTAGTACTCTGGGGTCTCGCTTGCCTGGTGTAAATATTCCAATGAAAGGAATGTCATCTTCTTTCCAAGCCTATCCCTGCTCCCCCGCCCCCGCCAAGCCTATTCTCGAAGTGCATGTGGCACTTATCCTCAGTCGGCCTTTCTGTTCCATCTCCTGCCCAGTGTAAGGAGTTGTGTTGTGAGCTGCAAGAACTACAGCATCATCGTCAGACCAGTGAGGAGGAGCAGAGGCGGCTGCAGAGGGAGCTCAAGTGTGCACAGAATGAGGTGCTTCGGTTTCAGACTTCCCACAATGTCACCCAGGTAAACACTGCCAGGGGAAGGGCATTTGGGGAGGGCAGACGGGCCTCCATGGAGTTGCTGCGTCGGGGAAGGATGAACGCAGAGCAAGGTTGTGCTGTGCTGACTCTTGCCCTGCGACCAAGGGTACAGTCTACTGGAGACCAGTTGGAGAAGTCACGTAGCATTGCATTCTAGAGATGGTAGTCATTACTGAGTGTCTGCCTCAGCGAAGAAACCCAACCGTAGACCTGTGGGAGCTCCTCAAGATGTCTACGTCTGGAAAGGACCCAAACTGGTCTGTAGAGGGGTCTGCTGTTTCTTGAGAGTAACTGTTCTACCCACATCCTCCCACCACAGAACGAGGAGCTGAAGACCAGACTCTGTGCCCTGCAGCAAAAGTATGATGCTAGCCAGGATGAGCAGAATGAGCTCTTGAAGGTGCAACTACAACTTCAGTCTGAGCTCCGGCAGCTCAAAGTCTTGAAATCCACAGTCGTAGAAAGCCCAAATGAGAAGGTAACAACAAAAGGAGGTGAGGGGCAACCGAGGTGCTAAGAGGTTTTGGGGAAGGTGGCCCAGAGCGGAGTTAAACTAAGGGCGGCTGCCAGCCGTGCAGCGCCTCTGGTAGGGGCCTCCGGCCACCCCCGGGCACTGTGCCGGATGAGAGGACAGCCGGCCAGCGAGGGGCAGGGAGAAGGCAGGCCTTAGACTGTCCGTGTCCGAGAGTGACTCAGGCAGAAGAGCGAGCGGGTTGATGACCCCAGAGGTACTGCCCACAGCCCCCTCCACCGCAGGAGTTACTGTGCCGGCTACAGAAGCTGCAGCTCCAGTACCAGCACATCACGTGCGAGAAGGATAAGCTGCTGGAAGTGCAGCGACAGCTGTGCGGGGACCTGCGGTACCATGAGGCGGAGGTGCAGCGCCTCAAGGACATCGTGGCCTCCTTCCAGGAGAGCAGTGAGAAGGTAAAGGAAGCTCCAGGTGAGGGAGATGTAGCCAGATGGAATCTTCTGTGAGAGCAATAGTACCAAGGAGGAGGGAGCATCGTAGGAGTTCTATGGTACAGGCCTTGGTGAGGGGTATAAAGAGGTGCCTAGTAGAAACGTGATCTCAGAGAGTCATGACGCTCTCAGCTTCCCTTGATTTTTAATTAAAAAATCAGCCTATAAAAAGGTAGCTCTCTTTCTTCCCCACCTGCCCGAAAAGGAAGCCCCAGAAGGTCCCTGTGTAGAGCCTTTTAGGGTCCATCTCAGGTCACCCCCAGTGGGATGAAATTGGGACTGGAAAGGACCGAGTAGGAGAGGAGAGAGTGCAGCTGCAGGGGCTTCTGGGATGATGGCGGGGCCTGCCTCCCCTACCCCAGAATGCAGAGATGCACGCCCAGCTTCAGGAGATGAAGCAGCTGTACCAGACCAGCAAGGAAGAGCTGGAGCGGCAGAAGTACATGTATGATCAGCTCGAGCAGGACCTCCTGCTTTGCCAGCAGGAGCTGAAGGAGCTCAAGACCACCAAGCCCATCCCAGAGGAAAAGGGGAAATGTGCTAATAAGGTAATTGTACTTAAGAGAGGTGAGATCTCCTGGGTACTTCCTCTGGAGAGAGGAGTTGTAAGGGCAAAAGGTGAAGTCATCCAACCGAGGGGCTTGATGAGCTTCCTTTACAGTCACAGCTGAGCGTGCGAATCAGGAAACAGAGGCAGAGTCCCATGCTGTTAACTTTTAAACAGTTTGCCTTGATCTTGACTTTGAGCCCAAGCCACAGCCTAGTAGGATCAGTACAGCTGGATCCTGTCTGAACACCAGAGGGTTTTGCACTTGATCCATGTGTGTAGACATTTATACTTTGTTATTAGGACTGTAGTGATATCTTGGCATTTGTGGAGAAGAACATACACAAAAGCCCACATATACAGCTTTTCTCATTAGACCTAAAAAGTTTTATCAGGCAGATTGCAGATGCTCTTGTCAGATGACATGGTCTTGTGCCTAGAGTGCTGATTGGATATTAGAAGGACCTAAGTTCTTCCAGGGTTTACTCTGTGACTTCGGAAGAGTGAAGTTCTTTAAGCTTGAGTTCTACCCTCTTTAAATTGAACAGAATACTATTCTTTTCTCACTTGCTTGTAGTAATAAATCCTAGTAGTGATAAGTAAGGCCTTCCTTATTCATTTTCTTTTTTCCCATAGTGTGTAAAAAGTCATTATCAGTTACCCTGTGTTGAGCACTTTCAGCTCCTGATCACTGATAGGAAATGGAAGGTGTTGAAACATGATGGAGAAAAGGCACGAGATTCTCAAAAGATGGAGGAGCCAGTCACCTTCTGCCCAAATCCTCAGTGACTCCTACCACAGCCAGCAGCAGGCTGTGTCCCCGGGGAAAGGCCTTCTGAAGACCCAGAATGGGGAGGTTATTTGGACCACTCCCAACAGTCCACCTGCCTTTCTACACCCAGGCTCACATTTCCTTCTTCTGTTCCCGCTCAGCTTAGAGGCCAGAGTGTCCATGACTTGCTCATCCGCTCCTCTCCTAGTAGAAGAGACTGTGGGGAGGGAGAAGCATGCTGACACGGAGCCAGCTTTTCCTCTTGTCCTAAAAACAGCATGGAGATGAGTTTGATATTAGAAGGTTTGGGTTCTTGGAATCATGGGATAATTTAGTCTTCTCAACCCAAATTCAGCAATAGCCCATATTTTTCTAGAGATTTAAAAAGATGATTATGAAAACAAAAATGGGGACAAATCGGGTGACGTTTTTATTGGTAAGGAGTATAATTAGGTATAAAACCAACTGGGGATGATGACAGTGACAGGAACTAGAACTCCCAGCAGGGCCGGAGAACGAACGGTGTGTACCACAGGGAAGGGCCAAAGGAAAGGAAGGTGGGGTCATGAGAAGGGAGGGGCGTTGGTAACACTCCCCTCACAGGGCTCTCAGAAGGGACCAGTAGATGAAATTTGCAGCATAGCCAAACAGTCCTGAGCGGCCCGCCGGGGTTTCCCGTTATTGTATGTTCAGGTGTCTAAACCTGTATGGGTGCAGTGTGGCTTGGGATGGTCAGTCCAAGGGGGCTGTAGAGGGTGGGAGCTCCTGCTGAACCACAAAGGGCAGGAGAGCACAGAAGGGCTCTGCCAGCTGGACGGTGCAGAGCAGTGCCTCACAGAGTAACTGCCCCTCCGCAACTCCCTCCTCCCCCGTCCACAGTGTGACACACTGCTGTCCAGACTGACAGAGTTGCAGGAAAAGTACAAGGCCAGCCAGAAGGAGATGGGGCAGCTGCAGATGGAGCAGTGCGAGCTCCTGGAGGATCAGAGGAGGATGCAGGAGGAGCAGGGGCAGCTGCAAGAAGAGCTGCACAGGCTCACGTTCCCGCTACCCAAAGCTGGGCTCCTCCCTAAGGTAACCCCAGCCAGGGAACGGCTGCTAACTAGGGAGAAGCTGCTTTGAGAAGCTTCCGAGGTGTGACTATACTTGGGAAAAACAACAGGGGGGGAATCGAACCTTTTCTTTTCTGCATCAGCCCCTCCTTGCTTTGTCACCGATCTCTTCAAACCAAAAAGTTCCATATAGCTGATTAGGGTTTTAAGTCTTAAAACACATAGTATACTCTGGAATCTGTCCAGCATCTTCTCTTTAGATTTTTAGTCCCTCTGGAGAAAATATACTCTGAGAGAACTTTGTAAACTACAAAATACCTGCAAACATATGAGATCGTGGCTACTCACCTAGTGGGTCTCCATAGAAAGACCATTCCCCCGCCACACCGACCCTGTCCCAGATGGCTGTTTAGAGCCAACCCAGAGACTCCTAAGGGAAGGGTCCCCAGCAGGAAGGAGGCATGGGTCTTCCCACGTAACTACCACAGTTCCTGCCCGCTTCCTTCCCACTCTACCTCGCAGAGTCAGGAGCTACTTACAAAGTTACAAGACCTGTGTGAACTACAGCTGTTCTACCAAGGTATGCAGGAAGAGCAGAAAAAACTGGTACAGAGTCAAGAAAGTGTGCTCAGAGAACAGTCAGATCTGCACGAAGAGCTGCATCTTTTCAAAATGTCTCATTTCCGGGATGTGTTGGAGAATCCCAACGATTCCAAATCACCTAAGTCCTCCAAGTGTGGTCACGACAAGGTAACAGAGCAAGAGGCAGGGAGACAGTTCTGGGGACAACAGCATGGTAGGGAAGAGGGCTCCACGCAAGGCTCAGAGTTAGGAAGACCTGTCTGGCCAAGAGTAAGGATGAGACTAAGGCCCCCTTCTTCAGCCATGACCACCCATGGGCTCATGAAAATGTGGTTTTAGCTATGGGCTGAGGATCTCAATCAGATACATGCCCAGTTGAAGTGCTGTGAACACCGAGGATGGATCAGGGTGACCCGGGAATCTAATCACCTGATAATTTGATGCAGCCCCTTCAACATCATTTTCCAGATTTATAATAGCAACTTAGTGTTTGTCTGGATTCCTTGGGACTGACTCTGAGCATGTCATCCTTTTCTCATGAGCTGGTTGATAATTAAGCAGTACACCTTCAGTGATCAAAATCTATAACCTTCCGGTGTTCTACCTGAGACAAATCTGGGGCCATTCGTTTCCAAGGGAAGAATTCCTAGCCTGTGGCATTAATGGTACTGGCCACACTGTCTTCACTGGAACTTTGGTGGCAATAACAGGTCAAGAGGGTTAGACTAGAGAATCCATGCATCACAAGCACCAGGAAGGGGTTATGCCTCTGAGGTCACACTGGTGGAGATTTCCTGATAAGTCTGTTTGGGGTTGGGGAATGCATTTGGTCTGAGGTCTCCGGGTGGGCAAGGAAGAGCAGGTAGACAGTTTCAATTTAAGGCTAGCCCTATTCATTCAAATATTAGCCTGGATAGGGAGAATCAGGGAATTGCAGAAATCCAAACTGACATTTGGTCAGATTCCAGAGGCATCAGATTTCAGCCTGGATAACACAGAGACCAGGAACCAGGTAGAACTCTTTCCTTAACCGATCAGATCTCATCCTGGGCATTAGCAGCCAAGAAGCCAGGCCCAGAGGGCCTGGGAAACATGCCTAGAGGCCAGATTCAGAGTTGGGACAGGAGGTAGAGGGACTTGTAGTGAGACCTTAATTCCAGGTCCACATCTGAGGGAGGCATTCTTGTAGGCTCACATTCAGGGCCGGGGCTGATTTTAGAATGGGGGGCCGGGGAGGGGACTGAGCCCCAAGGTCAGGATAATGGGTATATCCTGACTGAGAAGAGGGTAGGGTAGGGAGCCAGAGTGTTCTCGATTATCACTCAGCTCTGCTGCAAGGAGAGAGGGATGTACCAGAGTTTAGAAACCAGCCGAAATGGGAGCCTAGAAATCGCAGAATTATCTGCCCGGGGTAGATTTTCCCCAACGAGCAAGTAACTGACATGCCAGCAGCTGCAGGCGGTTAAAGACCTAGGCTGTGGTGAGACTGGAGCGTAGGTGTGCAGGTCTCTGAAGTGTGCCCGCAGACATCTGCCCCAGGAGGGGTGCGGCGAGAAGGACGGCAGCGTCTGGAGTAATGGTAATGTCTCCTCACCCACTCCTGGCAGTCCAAGCTGATCATCGCCCAGATGCAGGCGCTGCAGGTGCTCTACGAGGGCACGCAGACCGAGCAGGAGCTACTGCAGCGGGAGCAGGGCAGGCTCCTCGAGGAGCGGAAGAGGCTGCAGGCCGACCTGCAGCTCTGCCTGGAAGAAATGCAGCTGCTCCAGGTCCGGTCCCCTTCCAGCAGAATGAGCTTGGAGAAGAACCATGGCAGCATGGCCGCCAGCGGCGAGAACTTCCGCAGGAGTTACGGGAGCGGCCTCGATGACAGCGGGAGCTATCACAAGAGTTACGGTAGCACCCAGGCCAGCACCGAGAGCTTTCTCAAGAGCTATGACAGCAGCAGCAGTGCCCGGGAGAGCAGCGAGAGGAGCTACTGCGCCGGCAGCAGCGGCAGCAGCATCTATAAGAAGAGCTACGGCAGCAGCACCAGCTCGGACACCTGTTACAGGAGTTACGGCAGCAGCACTAATGACGGACCTGCCGAGCCTGAAGACCTAGAGGTAAAAGAGCCAGAGGAGAGGTCAGACAGGGAGAAAAGCCTCTTGTCTTACTAAGAGATTAGTCACCAGGGAAGGGTGCAAGAAGTGAGGTGGGCGGCAGGGTCAGAGCTGAGCTGGGTCACCGGAAATGAATGAGGCAATCCGCCTGTCTAATATGGAGATGCTCCCATCACAGCGATGGTGCTTTATGGGAAGAAACACAGAATTAGCCCCAGCGCAGCTTCAGGTCCTTGCCGCCATTGTTCTATACTCAGGATGGGGCCTAGCAAAGAGAGTGGGGCGGAGGGCAGGTCCTTCTCAGGGTGCGGTCATCACTCCTCCACCCTCCGCAGCACTGTGAGGACGTAGTCGCCAGGGTGGTGATCAAGCTGCAGGGGGTGCAGGCCATGTACCAGCTCAGCCAGGGGGAACACGACCGGCTGCAAGACCGGATGAAAAAGCTGTTGGACAGGCAGAAAGAGCTGAAGAAAGAGCTGGTCGCCTGTGAAAAGGAATTCAAGAAATGCATGGAAAGCCTTGAGAAGCCTGCTGCCTCCCCAAACGACAAGGACAAGAACGAGGTAACTGCTATGTGGGAGGCAAGGTTTCTTCTAGGAGTCCCTAGAGCCAGAGCAGGTCATAGGTCCTAGCCATTTCGGAGAGGCTGAGGAAGGAGGCCCGGGAGCTCACTGCTTGCTCTGCGTAGTTGCCCCCTTCCTGGTCAGAGGAACAGAGCAGGGGCTGAACCCCAGGAGGCTGGGCACTCTGCCACAGCACTGGTGGACGGCCCTCACATGCTCACTGTGCTGAGATATACTCATCATCAAGACTCTGAATAATTTTTCTCTTTTTCCTTTTACCACTTCCCTCTTTTGCTGTGTCCCAGAGCACTTCTATAGAGTTGTATTTTTTCACCTTTAGTTATTTTTGGTGTACTTGTCTCTTCAACTAGATTGTAAGTACCTCGAGGGCAGAGCCTTGCCTCCTTTCGGATCCCTTATAATGCCAAGAAGGGTGCTCTGTGTCCATGAGGGATGGGACAGAAGGCATTCTTCCTGCCCAAGAGTAGTCCACAGTCCAGCGGGACTCACTGTGTATGCATGGGAGAGTTCAGACAACAGTCAGCCCGGGGGCCTCGGTTGCTTAGTATTGTTACCTACCAGGGAGACTGTGATGCCAGAAGTCAGGGAAGACAAAACCAGAAATTAGGGAGCAGGGTTGGAATTTCCCTCTGTTTCCAGGGTGAGGTTTGCAGGAGCCCAGGCACACTTTCAGGAGTGGACCACACAGTTCCTTAGGTAGTTGTTACCTGTTAGAGAAATAGCTTGGGCGAAGTAGGAGTTTCCATCAAAAAGACGTCCATAATAAAGCCCTGAGCTTCAGAAGGGGCAGCTCTATAGTTATTCCCCAGACAGATCCCAGTAAAAACATAATTTAAATCATCCTTTTTTGATCCCATTAGGTGTAAATCATCAGGTACCTCATTTAGAAGCTATTTCTGAAACCGCTTTAGAGACTCGTATCCTGCAGTTTAACGTTTCCTCTCTTATCTACTCCCCCATGGGCCTTAGCAGGGCAGACTCGGGCTGTGACCCCCAGGCCGGGCTGTGGGTGACTGGCCGTCCGCACCGCCCCCAACCCCCCCCCCCGCCCCCTGCAGATCAAAGAGCTGCAGGCCAAGCTGCGGGAGCTGCAGCTGCAGTACCAGGCGAGCATGGATGAACAGGGGCGGCTTCTGGCCGTGCAGGAGCAGCTGGAGGGCCAGCTGCAGTGCTGCCAGGAAGAGCTCCGCCAGCTCAAGGAGAAGAATTCCTCTGTTCCCAGAGAGACCAAGGGGAAAAGTGGCAATGAGAATAGGAACAAAAATGCCAACGGGGTTAAAAACAAAAAGGTGACCAAACCAAGCCTGGACGGTTCTGAGGGCTGCTATGAGAACAGAAAGGTGAGTAATAACCTTAGTAGCCTGATAAGCAGAAAGGCAGAGGAGATCTTGGGAAGAAAAATCACCACCACCACCATTCCGGCCAGGTGAGGTATTTGTAGAGAAGCTTCTGGTCTCTCTCGTGTATTAGAGTAGATCTCTCTTGGTAGCAATTCCGTACTTCCTTTTCCTCTGAAGGTAAGGGGAGTGGAACACAGACCACTTATACCTGGGGGCACAGCCCCAAAGGACCATAGCCCCTAGGATGGACGACGGCTCCAATTAGCTCAGCCCAATCTACTGGGGCCCCTTTTCTTCCTGGGTTATGTGCCCAAGAGAGGGACCAAATGGATGAAAAGAAGGAATTAATTCGAAGCAGTGGCAGACTCCTACGTGAGGAGGAGGGGAGAAAATAGGAGTCGTAGCCGCCTTGCAGGGGTCGGAGGCGGCAGCTGAGGGGCAGAGCCCAAGATTCTAGCTCTGGTAGCTGTCCGAGACGGCCAACGGCCGGATGGCCGTGTGGGTCCCGAGAGGCTGGGCGTGACTGCCCACACGACGCTCAGGGGGAGCCTCGGTGCCAGAACGCGGTGCTGCCTGCGGGCCGTGCGGGGCCGGGAAGCAGAGTGCCCTTGAGGTAGTCCGGCTTCTCGCGCAGGTAGGCCTCCTGGCGGTAACCGCAGCCCCCGTCCTGCCCTGCCTCCGCCCACAGAGCCTGGAGGTGGTGCTGTACTACAAGGCCAGCCACACGGACTTAGGTGTCCTAATACAAGAGGAAGCGGAGGAGGAAGAGGAGGAAATCAAAAAGGACTCGAAGCAGGACTCCTGCAATGAACTGGTTTCTGTGCCGTCAGAGCCTGCGGAGATTAAGTCCGCAAAAGCAGAGGAGGGGTGTTATGAAGAGTCCCAAGAGCGGGAGGGCAAGGAAGACGACACCAAAGATGAGAGCGCCAACGACACTTGCCCTGAAGCTTCAGAGGGAGACAACCCCCTCAAGCTTTCTGAGAGCAAAAAGGTAACCGCAGTCGAAGGCTGGACCGAGTGGGAAGTGGGCTCTGGGGCTCCGGTGCCCTGGTGTGGCGGGGTGACCCAGCCCGAGGATGGACTTCTGCAGGAGCGTATAGGCCAGCCAGCCCTGAGGCCTAGCGTTCGGGGAGAGTGGAGATGGAGCCGGGAGTGGTGGAAGTGGGCTCTCCACGGGAAATGGCGGGCTGAGACCACTTTGCTGTGGACCTACCTGTGTCTCAAAGATCACCCCATCTGGGAACCAGGTGATCTCAAAGATCACCTTTTCTGGGGCCGTTGCAGTCCTGCCTGCTTTCACCTCTGTGGCAGCCCTCGCTCCTTACGTCAGGAGGTCTTCCCCCCTTCACCTAGCACTGCACTGAGGACACGGATGGTGTGAGGCCCGCTTCAGGCTATTTGCCAGCCTGCGTTAGTCACTCAGTCCTGCCTCCTCGAGGTGCCCTGTTAGGTTGACCTTTGTTGTTGCTGTTAGGGGTGTTTGGGGGGCAGGTGTGGCTTTCGGGTTCTGTGTATTACAGGGCATGAGGGGAGGGGCTGGGGGTGGTCAGAAGTAATAGAATATTTTAGTCCGCACAGCAGGGGCGTGGGCCAGTCTGGGGAGAGCAACCAGAGTCCTAACGCTTTAGTTGCTAGATCTTGAGAGGTTGGGATGGGAGTATCCTGGGTAACGTGCCAACCATACAAAAGTATTTCTGTATTTTAACTACTAGTACATCTGCACAGGTAGGTACCAGCTGAATTCCTGCGCTAGTTGAGGTTAACTGGGGGCTCTGATTCCCTGAAGAGTGAGTACTTCCTGAATAAGTCCTTGGTTTATGGTACAGGCTCTTTCCATCTTTCTTTCTTT